CTGTTTCCCCAAGCACTACCAGGAGTGACTAGAAATAACAGTCACAAGCTGGCAGAGGGTAAATTCAGATTAGACATCAGGAGGCACTACTTCACTGTTAGGGCAGCTAGGACCTGGAACCAACTTCCAAGTGAAGTGGTGCTGGCTCTTTCCCTGGGGGTCTTTTACACAAGGTTAGATGAACACCTTGCTGGGGTCGTTTGACTCCAGTACCTTTTTCCTGCTAAGGCAGGGGGGCGGACTTGTTGATCTGCTCAGGTCCCTTCCAACCCTACTAACTATGAAGAGCAAATTGGCCTCTTGCCAGGTGCTACTTAATACAAATAATAGCTGTGTTTGTACTCGTGTGTTGGCCAATAGCGTAACTAGGGGTGGGGCAGAGGGACATTCATCCCAGGTACTAAGTTAGGAGGGGTCCCAGAATCACCCCTACACCACCCCACAGAGTCTGTTCCACAGCAGCATACCTCCAACCACAAACTCCAAAACAGTCCCTGGTTACTGGTCTTGCTACTATTCTAAGAGCAACAGCCAGGGCAGGCAGAGCAAACAGCAGTGGCAGGAGCAGCTCTGCCAGGGACTGTTTAGGAGTTCCTGTAATGGGTAAGATTGCTATCCCACATGCCCTCGCCCCATCACAATCCATACCCCTCCACTCAGGACCTAGACCCCCTGCCCTGGCTCTTGAGCCTCCCCTGCTTCTCACCCTCACTCTCAAAGCCATATATTCCCCCAGCCCCCAGCTCTTGGAAATTCATGCTCCCCCACCCACTCTCAGAACCATGCACCCCTCCTACTTTCCCATAGGGTTTGCCCCAGGTGCAAGCTCTCCTTGTTACGGCACTGTGTTGTCACACATAGCAACAAGGATGCTCTCTATTTTACCTTTCACCATTCCCAGATAATATCTTCTTGAGGAGAACAAGATCGAACCTAAAAATATAGCACTATGACCTTAAGGAAGGGGAGTTGTTTTCCTTTTTAGAGGGATTTGGGCTTGCCTTTGGATATGTTTTTTCTCAAGGTTCCTGAAGCTTCTTTTTAGTTTTATTATTTTCTGTGGTTTTGTTCTCCCCTATGCAAGAATAGCATCCTCAAACACAGCTACCCTTTCATTCTCTCTTTGAAACTTTTCCCTTCGCTTAGCCTGATTTTTTACACTAAATTGTTTATATCTGTGCCTATACGTCTGCTTATCATCTTACATCTACAGTATTGCCCATGTAGGCCACTGTATCGCTTCTATCTGTGCTGCAGTCTATATTCATGTATTCATTCCTTCCAGCTTCAAATATTGTAGTGCCATATTCCATTCTTGACCACAGTACTTAGCTCTTATGGACAGAAAACAGACTTTTTTTTGCAGAATATTTTTTTCAGAAGGAAGGGTGGACAAACAGCCTATGTGCAGTCTATTTGCAACATATCCACTGGCCCCCTATTAATTTCCAAGTTCAACATGGTTGCCTTTTATTTTTAAAAGTTCTATTGCACTTTCCCCAGCCTCTTTAAATAATGTTATCTCTCTCAGCTTCTCTTCATTGTTTTTATCATCTTCTCTTTCTCTTTATTAAATGTGTCAATTTCTCCCATGTAGCTCCTTCATGCATTCCCTTTTGGGATGTCTCCACATTATCAGTTATCCATTAATCATGCATACTTTATTTATAAAATATGTTTTTCACCTTTTTTCTTTCACTTTCTTTTAACTTGGTTAAAGGTTATTTCACTATTTTTCTCACTTGTAATGCTTTTAGGGACCATCTGCATGAAAGACATTTCACAAAATTTAATATAACCAATGTAATCTTTAATCACAGCCAAAAAAACATTCAGTGTCTTACAAAGCATTTATTCATATGCTTTCTGTTATTAGAAGATTATATGCATTTTCCTTATTAGACTTTAATCTGCCTCAACTTTCAATGAACCATTATGCTTCTACATGAGAGAATAACAGAAATACCTCCAGGGATTTGTTCATCTGTGCCACCATCTCATTCATAGTCATGTGGCAGTGAACTGTTCCAACACTGATTAAACAAAATACTACAAAGACCTGAAAGGATATTGTAGTTAATTGTTTTAAGGTAAATCACCTTTCTGGGCTTTTGTTTGTTTGTTTGGGGGTAGGAAGAGAAAGAATAGAGGCCTCATATCTATGGTGTTGTCAACATTCCCATTTGGAAACAGAATTTTTTAAGGAAGTAGATTTTTTTTTACATCAGTTTGCATTTGAATTTTTAACAGAAGGATCATCCTTTTTCAATGTGGTCTTAGCAGCACAAGAATTAACCCTTTCTTGGGAGCTCCAGGAGGGGAAAAAAAACCCAGACAATATTGAAAATAGCTATGTGTCTGTCTGTTGCTTCTTTTTTGTTACGTTCCATTCACACTGGCCAACATTAAAAGTTTTGTTTGAAGATAGTAGATAGAGTATTGACCTAGGAGTCAAGAGACCAGGTTTCTTTGTTGCTGACTAGCTATGTAACTTTTTTGGACAAATCACTTCAATCTTTTGCATTTCCATGTCCCAGAAAGACAAATGGGTAGGAAGTATGATGCCAAATCTCATTTTAAAAATCCCCAAAGGCACATATGTGCATCTTTAAGTGTGTATATGCCTTTAAAAAACATGGAGAAAGTGATCCTTACCATCCTTTTGAAAAGGCTTTGAGATTTGAGAATTACATGACAGCTAAGTATTTAATTACTGGGAAAAATTATTAACTTGCTGCACCTGTCAGGATCAAGTCATTTACTTGCATGCATCTCAAAGATATGCAAATTCTAGTTTCAACACTTTACAGAACATTAAGAAATACCAGAAATATAATAATGATGGCATCATATATTTGACTAAGCCACATGAAACATTCATTACTAAATTGGGGATATTGAAATATTATCAATACCAATGTTTAATATTATATTAAGGCTCCCTGGGAGACTGGGCTATACTGTGTCACATGATCATGTGGCAGAAACCGTGGTGTGAGGCTGAAGATGTATCTACAGTGCAACAAAAGATGTGTCCTTAATAGAGGTTAAAGTAGGAGTGAAGACAAAGTAGTTTGGGTAAGCGCATGTTGAAATCTACTGAGGAACCATAATGTCACCGTTATTTTAATCCAAATTAAATTATTTGGGTTAGTTAAACAGGGAATGAATAGAGTTTCTACCAATTGAGCTTTCAGTGTCAATGAATGAGTTATAAACTTTTGGAAAGGGAGCCTGTGTGCCTCATCTCTCATAAAGCAATGCAGAAATCTAGAACACTTGGTTCAGAAATGATACCTTTTCTTAGACCAACTAGGAAACTGGAAAAAAAATTCTGCAAGCTTTCAGGCTCAAATGTCCTTATAAACATCATTTTTCCACAGAGGGGGCTGGAGATGGAAGTCTGTCCCTCTGGGTCCATGAGGGTGTCTCTGTGAGTTGTTCTGAGGTGCTCCTTGTTGTGTGGATCAGGTAGGATTCCTTTCCTGGATGTGTCAGATGGCAAGCAAGAAAATTTAAAAATCTTTCTTGTTGTTTTCCAATGAAGTTTAAAATCCAAAATCAGCTAAAATTTGGCATCTTCCATGTTTTAGGGAAGTATTTGGTAGCCATGTTGGTCTGAAACAAAAAGAAATGCAAAAGTCTAGAACTCTTGGTTCAGAAATGATACCTTTTATTAGACCAACTGGGAAACTGAAAAAAAAATATCTTTTTATGTAAGCTTTCAGGATCAAATGCCCTTTATTAGGCTCTGGGAAAATTAAAGATTCCTTTACCTCCAGGGAAGGAATCCTACCTGATCTATACAACAAAGAGCAACTCAGAACAACTCAAAGAGACACTCTCATGGATCTCTGGGCTTCTGACAGACTTATGTCTCTGGCTCCCTCTATGCAAAAATGACATTTATTTCCTACCTATGGGGACTTTTCACTATCTTTAATTTTCCCAGAGCCTGATAAAGGATGTTTGAGCCTGAAAGCTTGCAGAAAAAAGATTTTTTTTTTTTTTTTTTTGCAATTTCCTAGTTGATCTAATAAAAGGTATCATTTCTGACAGGAGCAATGTGTAGGGGGTACACAGGGGTGCATGTGCACCCCCTGAGAGCACCGGTGCACCCCCTGTCAGGTTGCTTTCCCTGTGTAGCTGGTGGGCAGGGGGGGCAGGTAGGAGCACCAGTGCCCCCCTTGCGAGCACTGGCCGGGGAGCCAGGCCACCAGCAAAAGTGGCTGTACCACTTCCAGAAGTGGCCGTGGGAGTTCGGGAAGTGGCACGGCCACTTTTACGGTGAGTGAGATCAGCCATGAGGGACTTCCCCACCCCCAGCCAGCGGGATTGGCCACCAGGGGACCTCCCCCAGACAGCAGGATCGGCTGATTTGGGACCCCTCCCCAGTTGCTGACTGGTGTCGGGGGGGCATGTGCCCCCCCGACTCAAGAGGGACCAGACACCCATGATTTCCAAACCAAAGGTTTTTGCATTTCTTTTTGTTTCAGACCAACATGGCTACCAAATTAATCTCTCATAAAGATCCAAGGAACTTATTTACTGCTTCAGAAGGGACTATTTGAAGCCAGCCATACTTGAATTTTGGTATTAGAGTGGAAGGGGAAGGGAATTGGAATGAAACAGTTGCTGAATTTGAGGAAGAATGGTAGTTTGATAGTTCTTGTCATAGATTCCAATGGAAGTTCCAGTCCTCAGGTAGCTGAGATGCCTTTGGAAAACCTAGTCATGAATATCAGGTGATGGGGGATTCTCTTTTCTATGTCACACCAGCTGTCCAAAAAATGACATTATCTACCAAAGAGATAAGAAAGAAAATTCTGCCTAAACTCGTAATTCCTTTCCATTGCACATCAGTATTAGTGCACTGATGCACTAATATGATGAACACATGAAAATATTTGATATGCTTAACATTTTGTAAATTTTATTCTAAAATTGATCAGTGGCTGAACTCATCACAATATCATTTTTTTTCTGTACTACTGTTACAGGTGATTACATAGTCATGACGATCTACTTCGACTTAAGTAGAAGAATGGGATACTTCACTATCCAGACATACATTCCCTGTATATTAACTGTTGTTCTTTCCTGGGTGTCATTCTGGATTAAAAAAGATGCCACACCAGCAAGAACAGCATTAGGTAAGATTTTAATCATTTCCCTTTATGCTATGTCTGTGTGCTGCCATTTGAAAATTACAGCTTATTTCCAAGCAGAAAAATAATGGTTATGAGTACCACACATGTCCACCTCCTGCAGTCCTGAAAACTAGTCACTGAAAGAAACTTTGGAATTTAGCTTTTAAAAGGGCAATTTAAATAAACTATTTTTCCACCAAACAAAATTACACTACCACCTATTTTAGTTGCAACATATCCCAGAATTAATGGTTTCCTCTTTGTTCCCCCTGTGGTATTCTAATAACATTTCTGACTCATAATCATAGTTGACGTCTTCCTTCCCTTTTTTTTCAACTTGGTCCCTGTGTCTGTTTATATTTATAACATTCCTATGAAACTGGTAATGTTAAATGTAATAAAACAAATTTATCCAAAAAAATCCGCTTAAATTCACATTTAGGTACCTGTTTTCATGGGTAGTGGAAACCTGCAGCTCCAAATTGCCTCAGAAAAACAGGCTGCTGGCATAAGTGTAGATTTAGGTGATGAAGTTTAGGCTACACTTGAGATTTATGACCATTTGTTTTAAAATAGAATATA